TGACTCCTCTGGTCCACATTCCTGTTGCTGTGGCAACGTTTGTCATCGACAGCCAATGGTCTTCACCGGCTGTCACTGGCCCTTGTTCCCGATTGGCTGCTTCATGCTTATTGGGCCTCCCTGTATTAGAAGAGGGCTGGGGGGATTTTGGGAAGGATTCAGGAATGTTCTGTTCTCTGCAGGAGACAGTACCCCCCCCCCCACACACACATACACGCACACCAGATTTCAAAGCCCAGACCCCATGCCGTGTCTGAGTGTCTTTTAGTGTTTTGTTTTAATCTTCCCATCAATATTTGATTATCTGACTCAAAACAGCCACTGTCACCTCCCCTCTGGAATTAAACAGGGTTTCTGTACAGCACGACCAAAAGAAAAATACCCAAGGAAGGATGAGGACCCGATAATAGACTTTTGTTTGCGCAGGGAAGATTAGAGATAAAGATAGCAGAGTTCCTATCGACTTTGTCAAAGTGCTTTCTCAATTCACTCAGTATTCAGAGATGGAACTAACAAGTCCCAAATTCTGATCCTGGTAGGACCTGAGGAATTATTTACAAATCTAAACAAATTATAGAAATTAATCGCCATGCCCAGTTGATAAAAAAACAACCTAAACTTAAATCTTTGATTGAAAGGGTTAAAACTTTGAGCTCAGTAACTCTGCAGCTAAGTTGCACCAGTTTGCTAAAGGCCCAGTCCAGCCCAGTCCTGGTTCTGAAACCAGACAGAACCTTTATGCCATAATTGCCCTGTAACTGCTGCATGGTCCCTGCTGTTCTTTAAATCCGTACGGACCAGAGTAAGAATTTTGTTTTTGGAAGAGCCAAACCAAATGTTACTTTGTAGCTGATTGATACCAGGATCACATCCAGCCATTTCTTGAGAGAAGCCAGGGCTTTGTTTTCGAAAAACATGGCCGATGGCTTGTTCCCTGCTCCTGCAACCCTTTGCGTAAAGACGTGTCTCCTGTTCTTGGTTTCTTGTCTCGCTGTTCGTTCTGAAGTCCAGTGGGCTGACTTTAAGGGCTTTGAGTACTTCCGTCAGGTCCCATTGTGATCTTCTCTGTTCAAGACTAAAATGTTTTTTCAGCCTGTCAGTGCAAGACTTCCCTTTAAGTTTCTGGATGCATCTAGTTGATCCCTCTCTGGACTGATCCCGTCTCCTTTTCAGACCTCCAGCCTGTAGTCTCCCTCAGGAATTGAACCCAGAGCCCCCGAACTGCAAGGCAGCAATACTAATCAGCATGTACCCCCCCCAGGGCAAACTGTGGCAGGAGATAACGACGTGTCTGTGTCGTTCTGGTGTTTTTGTTTTGCCCTCCATCTGGTTCCACTTGTGCGTCCAGCACTGTGGACGGGATCCGTTTTGATTTCTCTATTTCTGTTTGCTGTGCCGAAAACAGCGGCCCCGCGCGGGAGGCTGGAACCTGGGATCGCGCCGCTCCGAGACGAGTGAAACCGCCGTTATTGTCTGTTGCAGAGAAGCGGGTCTGGTTAAAACAAAGGCTCTTTGAAGTGCAACTGGAGAGCGCTCTGCACCCCGCCTGAAAGCTCGAAAGCGGTTTTTCATCTCCTCTGCATTTCCTGTTATTTAGTTGTTATAGTTACTTGAGATCTTGCAGCCTGTGACGGACTGGCGCCCCATCCAGGCTGTACCCCCCCTTTGCTCCCGTGCTGGCCAGGACAGGCTCCTGCTCCCCTGCGCCCCTGACTTGGATGAAGTGGTGAGAAGGGGGGGAAGATGAATGGATGTTTTCCAGGGTGTTTGGGGTTTTTTTTCTACATTTTTTAAGATCTGCTGAGTAACCGTTATAAGAACAGCTGTAAAATCACTTGGGGGCCAACTGGGGGAAGCAAATTGCCGTGGCACATTGCACCGAGGCCGGGGGGTTTTGCACTATTAGTGCTCCGAGACGTGTGTGGCGCTGAATTACGCTCCCCTGTGCAGAATCAGCTCCAGGTGGGCAGGTCCCCGGAATACCGGAATAGGGGAGCCAGGATATTTGAGGAGAATCTGAGAGCGGGACTTGAAGCACAGTCCAATACTGTAATTTCCCGTGTGTTTTTACTGGAGCAGACCTTTGATAAAATCAGCTACTTAACTGCACGGTTCAATTATTGATGAGTTATCCCGCTGGTTAAAAAGGCATAACTCAGCGTGATCTGGATCCAGATCTCTTTGATTCCCCCCTCCCAGCTGGGACAGGGGCCTACTGATTAGCAGTGTGTGTTGGGATTGAAATCATTGATTTTTAACCCACTGTGTATTGTTTTAGGGCGTCATGGCGCCACAGTTGTTGGTTTTGCTGCCTCACAGCGCTGGGGCCCTGGGTTCAATTCCTGGGATGCTTTCTGCATGGAGTCTGTATGTTTTCCTCGTGCTTGTGCATGTTTCCTCCAGGAAACTGGTTTCACAGTCCAAAGACAGGCTGCTGGGTTAATTGTCTTCTGGGCAGAACTGGCCCTGGTGTGAGTGTCTGTGTCCTACAGCAGACTTGTGGCCATTGCTTGCTGGGATAGGCTCTGGCTCCCCTATAATAATAATAATAACTGCTCACACTTATATAGCGCTTTTCTGGACACTCCACTCAAAGCACTTTACAGGTAATGGGGACTCCCCTCCACCACCACCAATATGCAGCCCCACCTGGATGATGTGACGGCAGCCATAGTGCGCCAGAACGCTCACCCCACATCAGCTATCAGTGGGGAGGAGAGCAGAGTAATGAAGCCAATTCACAGATGGGGATTATTAGGTGGCCATGAGTGGTAAGGGCCAATGGGAAATTTGGCCAGGACGCCAGGGTTACACCCCTACTCTTTTCGAGAAACGCCCTAGGATTTTTAATGACCACAGAGAGTCAGGACCTCGATTTTATGTATTATCCGAAAGAACGGCACCTGTTTACAGTATAGTGTCCCCGTCACTACACTGGGGTATTAGGACCCACACAGACCGCAGGGTGAGCGCCCCCTTGCTGGCTCCACTAAAACCTCTTCCAGCAGCACCTCTTAGTTTTTCCCAGGAGGTCTCCCATCCAGGTACTGACCAGGCTCACACCTGCTGAGCTTCAGTGGGCTGCCAGTTGTGAGTTGGAGGGTGATATGGCTAATATTGCTGTGTTTGGATGCCGCTTCTCTCCGCACCAGTCCGGTGTCTGAAGATTCCCTTGTGCTCCCAGTGGGATGGGAAGGTTTTCCCAGGCTGCCTGTCTCAGCCCCGGTCGCATCCACATGAGCCGTTTTCCTGGCAAATTGGTGCCATCTGCCGGGGCCGCAGTCGCTCTCGGTGCCAGCCGGCACAGCACAGCCCCTGCCAGGCACGGTGCAGCCGTATCAGAACTCCTGACTCCTGCCACCCTCCGGCCTGTGAGCTGGGCCCTTGTTTCCTTGCCGAAACAGATGGGAGGGCAGGGAGTAGGAGAAGCTTCGGGAGCAGCTGTGTAAGAGTGGTGCCAATTCTTGCTCCATTCCACTGAAGGGCAGCTGCACTTTCCTGAATTCTCACCTATTTTAACACCGAGGATCTCCCGAAGCAGGCGGAGAGGCGTGGCCTTGCAGGTGGCAGAGCGTGAGTCTTTCAATCTGCTTTAGTCCCATGCGGAACGAAAAGCTAATGGAAAAGGCCAGTTAATTATAAAGCCCTTGCAGTTTCTATTTTCAGGGCTCAGCTGCCCTTCTGAATTATTAGTGTTTCAGGACGAGCAGTCCCTGTCTAGAGTTCCTTGGTGCTGGGTCAGTTGTCTGTTGCAGATTCTGCCTAAACGACGAAGGAAGCTCCAGAGAGAGCTGCAGACTCAGCCTAAACGACACTCCTCCGTCCACTGAACACTGAACCAAGAGAAGTCAGCCTGTGTCCTGCTGTTAGTTACAGTAAAGTGAAATTGAAGCCCATTGCCTTGTTGATGAAAAAGATAATAAGCCACTGTTGTATGACAAATAAAGGTCAAGGTCTAATAAGGAGCGCTTCTTAATGAGCTATTTCAGTACTGGCAGCTTGGGTTATAAGAGGAATGTGTTTCCTACATATGCATTGATGAAAACACTAGCTCAGTGGCCTTCAATTGCAGCATTTGTGCTAATCAGTTGGTCCTGTTTGGTAGGTTCAGTTAAGGAACCTGCCCTCACTTAGCCAGTGTTTACTGAGCCTGTTACTCCTCCCAGCAGGCACCAGGGGGATTCGCAGAGTTCGGGAGGGAGCTGTTACTGTCTTGCAGGGTTACAGGGAAATCGGGGGAGTTTGTTCTTCCAGATCAACTGCTTAAGAAAAGTGGGGTGGATTTGTATGTTTTTTTTTGGGGGGGAGGGGGGCTGGCAGAGAGAGGTGGAGTGTGGGAGGTTTCCTCTGAATATGGGGATTCTGATCCTTTGCTTTATAACATCACTTTATTAACCCTTTACAATTTCTTGCATTAGGAATTGTCTTTTCGCATACCCCAGCTTGCTCTCCATGAGACACACACACAGGGAGAAGCTTGGGGTCAGAGCGCAGGGTCTGCCATTGTACAGCGCCCCTGGAGCAGTTGGGGTTAAGGGCCTTGCTCAGGGGCCCAACGGAGTAGGAATCCTCTGCCGGCTGCGGGATTTGAACCGGCAACCTCCCAGCCACAGGCACAGATCCTTAGCCACAGAGTTTAGTAGGGAAAGAGAGGAGAAGATGTGGAAATGAAGGTGACGGATCTAGTTTGCTTTAATAAAACATGTGGGGGCAGCTGTTCCCCCACCCCCCCTTTTTGCCCGCCTCTTCATTGGCAAAACACCAGATGCCCCCCTTCCCCCCACACACACGCACGTCTGAGACCGAGCGCCGTGTGTGTCTGTGCCCCGGACACGAGACGCAGTAACATTCCAGTGTGCGTGCCAGGATGGGTGCTGTTGACCGAAACAACAAGGCCTTTCACCGCGCAGAGCTGGGGCGCGGGGGCCGGCACTGCCCGGGGCTTGCGTGCCGGCGGTCGGAAGGGCGCGGCCCAGTGAACGTTTCGTGCTCTGTTGCAGGACCTCGCTGGCTGGAAGGCCCGGCACGGCAGATGGCTCGCTAGCCCCCTGGGAGAGAGCTGGCGGCCGCGATCGCGCGCCGGAGCCGTGAGCTGTGAGAGAGACGGTGAGCCCGCTGTACACGCAGCTCCGCACACGCTGGGAGTGTTAGCAGGCTTTCACCTCGCGCGTTAGTATGTCCCGCTACTCTTGGGATCGTTCGCCATGGCTGTCAGCTGTCACAATCACAGTGCAGGGCAGGAGAGCACAGTAAAATACAGGGCAGTCACATCCAGGGGAGACCCGTGTTAAACCTCAATCTACAACACGCCAAACTGCGTTCCCACACCGCTTTGACTCTCACAAGAAGATATTGCTTGTTTGGGAGAGAAGGGTTCCCATCACACCTGCTGGATATCATTCCGGGTCAGTTCCCCGTTACATCATTGCATCCGTAATGGACTTTATAACAGGATCAGTGTGAGATGTTTAGTTGTTTTCAGTGCCCAAAGATGTGGGAAGCTGACTTGTAACTAATGCCTTTCATAAGCAGCGCGAGATTGCCAGCTATTGTGAAAATAATCTCTCAAAGGATCCATTGAACCGGCTTGTAAGGATTTAATTATTATAACTGAGGATTCAATTAAGTAACGAGGTCAGCTGGAGTGACGACCCCCAGTGGGGGTCCCCAGGGCCAGGATGGGGGAGCTCTTTATGGGGATCGGTGGCTTGCATGAGTGTGCTGAGAGGGCTCGCCCTGTTATGGGCAGAAATAAAAGCGGTATCATAAGGGTTTGTTGTGCAAATGGACTGATAGGAAAATGACTCTTTAATTAAGAACATGAGGATGTAAGAAATGTAAAAAACGAGAGGAGGCAGTTTTAAGTTTGGTATTTAGTAGTTAATTGAGCCAGCTTGTTCCACGCTCCCACAACCCTTTAGGTAAAGAAATGCCTCCTGCCCTCAGTTTTAAATGCACTTCCACATCCAGTGGTTTCACTGTTCATTCTGAAAGAATCTGCTGGGTTAAAGACACAAGCATAGTCAGAAGCCTCAGCCTGCTTCCCGAGTGCTGCTGCCAGCCTATTCAGTGTTGTCCTTTGCAGCGTTCCAGAGTGCCCGGCGGCTGGCACTGACCCTCTGAGCATGAATGCCATTGTCCTGGACACTCTTGTCTGTGTGTCGCTCGGAGTGCCAGGCCGTCCCCTGCACACACTGGCGCGTGGCTGCCGGGTTACATCACTGCTGCCCTCCCTTGCCCCTTGCCCCGATTGGAACTGGGCGCGGTGGGTGCCCGCTCTACGTGGCTCCCCGCGCCCGTCCGCCCGGTGTGCAGGGTTCGGGCCTGGCGGCCACAGCTGCTCTGCCCCTCTCTCTGTCTTCGCTCTCTTCCCCTCTGTCGGCCCTCCCCAGCTGGACGCCCACCGGGCTGTGGGCTTGTCTCCTTCTCTGTGCCGGGTTCATTCCGCCGTGCTAACTGAAGAGGGCCGGGCGAAGCTGTGTGCTCGGTTCTGTCAGCTCGTGCAAACTAGTGATGGACGGAGCGGGTCTCTGCGGTATAGCTGGAGTCCGCGAAGCAGGCGCAGTGCTTCAGGGCGACCTTGGGTAACAAGTCACAGTCTGTCCAGTCTGTAGCCCTGTAGGTCACACAGCGGGACAGGCACATAGCAAGGCATAGTGAAGAAGTGAGGATTGCTTCTGCGATTGATGTCAAGCAGTGTCAGTGTTGGTAACGAATGGCCCCATCTGCCCTAGAGGAATGGGGGCGGGAGTAGGCGGTGGAGGAGGTGGATCAAAGCACGTGCACCTGAAATTTTCCTTTTTTCAAAAAACAGTCCGCTTAGGAAACTGCCGAAGTTCGACTTCCTATGATGATGCCATTCGGCTTGAGAAGACCCCGCCCCTCCTCCCCCCAGTCTGGCGATGATGTCACAGACGACCCTGCTCCTCCCTCCGACCAGCTATGACGTCGCAGGTGACGTCACTCCTTTCCTCAGAAGGTTGCTGATGTCACAGATGACTCTGCCCCGCTCCCATCAGCAGTGGTGTTGCTAGACCCCGGGGTATCGCTCTGCTCGTTTTCATTGCACAACAAGGGAAGGGCTGGGTGTTGAGAGATGGGAGCAGTCATCTGAGCAGTCCTCCGATTTGTCAGTCTGTTAGTCGGACATCGGCGGCGTGCTCCCCTCTTCTGTCCTGCCAAACCGAAACTCGTCTCGTCGTGGTCAGGAGGCGATCAGTTACTATCCACCAGCGGCTGTTCGGCTCTGATAGCACTGCGGGCAGCCCCTGCGAGCCCACTTCCTTCCTTCCTGAGTGAGTGAGTGTTTGTTCCACTTGATTTTTCCGTTCCTTTTCACCTCCGCAGATCCTCAGATGCCACCTGCTACAGAGGAGGAGGTGGGGGTGGGGGGGCAGTGTGTTTCTTTTCCATCCTTTTGACATGCTCCCACAATCCTTTGGGTACAGAAGTGCCTCCTGCTCTCATCTTCCACATTTCCACATTACAGTGCACCGGCTCGTACCGTAGTACAGACGCAGTGAACCTGTGGCAGAAGCCCAGGTGCCGGCAGGGCAGGGTTCGATGGTGACGCACAGTGTGGCCAAGCCCAACGCATGTTGTGAGTGCGGTAGAACCAGAGGACTACGGAGTGGCCACGCCAGCTGACCGTGGGAAGCTGCTGGAAGAGACGGCGGCATCGGGGCTGCGTTGTCCAATTTTCTACAGTACGTGTCAGGATCGGGCTCCGGGTCCATGGCAAGTTCAGACCAGTGGTTTTCTTCAACACACAAGCTCTGCACAGACTCACAAGGCTAGTGGCTCAGGCATCAGGTCAACAGGCTAGCTCTCCTCTGTGAAGGCTCTCTCCTTGCAGTCAAAGTGGTGAAGATTGTGCATTGTCCTGCAAAGGTTTAACAGAATTATGTATTTTATAGGGCAACATGGTAGCTTTGCTGCCTCGATGTACTGTGGCCCTGGGCTCAATTCTGGGCCTGTTTGTGTGGAGTTTGTATGTTAACATTGTTAATTCGTTTGTGGGGAAAACTGGTCCTGGTGTGAGTGGTTAGAAAATGGATGGCTATACAGGCATTTTATAGTGGTGACCTGTTGTGTCCAGCATAGGGTGAATAGCCCAGCAGTATGTCCTGTGGATTCCTGAGGACTTTAACATAGTAACAGGACAGGGGTTTTCCTAGGTGCTCTCCTGCTACAGAAGTGTCATTACATGGGGCCTGGTGGTTGCGGAAGGCAACAGCTGACCTGGCTAATGTGTTAGACCAGTCTGCCTCAGCGGCTTACAGGCAGGGGGTTGTCACATGGGAAGTCCACCTACGGAAGGCGCAATGTCTGGCTGCTACCCACATCTAATGCAGAGCTGCGCCGGGTCCTGTTGAGTGTGTGGTCATGTATCTGTACAGAGATACTGCAATGTTTTGCAGCAGTTATTGTCGCTGGTGGTGGAGTAGTCCTTATTTTGGCTGAATGTTACACATACGCTTGCTTATCTGGGCTCTAGTAATCACCTACTCCATGGTTTAATTTGGGATCTAGGAGTTCCAGGAGAGTCCAGGGACACGAGTTACTTTCATCCCAAGCAGGAGTTCCTCGGGACTGGGACACAGTCCGCAGCCCCGCCGGCACCGGGGTCGCGGAGATCCGATTGCGGCGATGACGGGGCCTTAATCTTCTCGGCAAAGGGAACAAGCCTCCCGTCGTTCCCGAGCATCGGATTAGCACTCCGATCCTGGATCAATTTTTAGAACACAGCCGGGCTGTTTGCATAAGAAAACCAGCGTGACTCCAGGCATTGTTAATTAGAACGCGAGAAGAGTAATTTGTTCTTTTTCGGGACTGTTGTATAAGACAGGAAGTCTGCAGCAAGCTCCGAGCAGGCCGGGGGGGAGTCACATGGCGGGGGAGACTCGGAGGGAAACAAAAAATGTATTATCCCCCCCCCCCCTCGCCCCCCAGCCCTGCTCATGGAAGTGATTAATTAGTGCACTGGTTCTGGGCAGCTCTCTCTCTGTGTGCTGACACTCACTGCACTGCACAGCTCCGAACTGTCGGCCACTGCCCTCTGTCACATCCTAAACAGCCTGCCCTGTCAGGCCCAGAAATGTCAATATTCACATTAGCTGTTGGAAAGATTTGAGCGTGGCAACTTCTTCTTAATGCAGTGGAGAGTGCCTGTTACCATTCTAAGTTGTTGTGTGAAATGTCTTGCTTTTTGATGTTTTTGCTTTGCCAGTTTCAAGAAAAGAAGTTGCAGGATCAGGACTACTTTCCAAGCAAACCCGCTTCACTGTTTCTGTGAATAAAAAGCCCCTCCAAAATCCCCCAGACTACGTTTAAGTGGAAGACAAATTCGTTTTGTTTCTTACCACACCTGTATTGCGGCTCTCTTAAATTTGCCTCTCTTGCTTTTATTATTGCTTTCATCAGATTAGGAGGAAATTCTGCATCGAGCCCACAAACCTCCCCGTGAATGAGCCAAACGTGCAGATAAACTTTCCGTTTTGTTGTTCTTGAAGAAACTGCAAGAAGAGAAATAAAAAAAAAAACCAGCTTTCATTCATCTATTTTCTAACCACTTCTTCAAATTCAGGGTCACAGGGGAGCAACAGGAACAAGGCATGGTACGCCTTGGACAGGACACCAGTCCAGCACACTGCAGAAGCAAACGCAAACACAAACACAAACACACACACCCCAGGGCCAGGCAGCTTACTAGCATGTGGTTAGACTGTGGGAGAAAATCAGAGCACCCAGAGGAAACCCACAGAGAACATGCAAACTCCATGCCAACAGCACCCCATGTCCTGGATTGAAGCCAGAGCTTCAGTGCTGCAAGACAGCCATGTTAACCACTGTGCCACCCAACAGCAACTTCCCTCAGTGTGGTTTCTATTAACAGATTTGATTGTGTTCTAACCGATCTCCCTGGCATGTCCTGTTCATGCGGTAATTCCACAGTTGACTAACATGTGCAGCTGTTTAACGCACAGTTGCTGAAATGCCATTGGTCGTTTGTGTTTCAGAGCATGGCCCTGATTGGCCGCCCGATCCAGATGTGCCCGAGCAGCAGCAGCAGCAGCAGCAGCAGCGGTGGCCAGCTGTGAGATGCTGTCCGGCAGCTGGCGCAAGACTGCACTGCCCTCGGCGGCCAGAGGGGGCAGCGTGGTGCTGGAGGCCCAGTATGACTACTCGTACCGGGCCACGGACGGGCGGCAGGTGTCGATGCGCGAGGGCGAGCGCTTCGTGCTGCTGCGCAAGGCCAACGACGACTGGTGGCAGGTGCGCCGCATGGGCGCCCCGCCCAAGTCGAAGCCCATCTACGTGCCCGCGACCTACGTGACCGAAGTGCAGGCCAATGTCCGCCTGGTGGCCAGGGCCTCCCTCACGCCCTGCTCACAGTCACCCTGCCCAGGTAAGGACAGTCACTGAATTTGTGTCAAAAACAACCCCGCAGCCACAGAAACAGGCCTCTTGAGTGTCGGTCCCCAGTCGGAGGTTTTTCCTTCTGTGCATCAGTTTGTTTTTGTGCACCACTGCATTTTCTCCAGATGTGCAAAAGCGACCAGAGAAATCAGGGATATTATAAGGGACTTTGTTTTACATTCAAGAAAGGAGGAGGTTCAAGACCTATTGGCTTCAATGCCCTGCTAACAGCTTTTCTGTTAATTTCAATCAGTTCAGTTCTTGTTTTTGAGGTTATATAGCGCCTGTGTTCGAAAGGTCAGATGTGTGCAGCAGCAGGGGCAGGTCAGGCCAGCGTAGAGCAGAGGAGTCGCTGCCATGTGTACTCTCCGGATCTCTCGGGACATGCACAGCACAGCAGACCACACCGCACGGTCAGACAGTACATTACAGAACAGTAAATAATAAAGACAATACTCAGAACAATAAATACAAACAGAACGATGAGTACGGGGTAGAAAGTCAGAGTGGAGGGGTGGATTGAGTGCTGGGGCACTCCACAGTGAGCTGTTCAGGATGCCCTCTGCAGTGGGCTGGAAGCTGTTCTGAAGCCTAGTGGTCCGGGCTTGAACAGTGCAGTACTGCTTGCAGGAGCACAGAGGGGGGGCTCCGTCGGCGGCCGGGATGGCTGGGGTCCCGAGTGATGGCGTGAATCTCCTCGACGGAGGGTAGGTCGCACCCTGTGTGACCCAGCGGGGCCGCGGGGGAGGCAGGACTGACACCAGGGCCGTGTCTTCCTCTCCTGCAGCGCCCGCCAGGACCTTCTGCCGCTCCATGGAAGACCTCAACTCCACCTTCCGCGGCCGGGGGGCCGGGGGCCACTTCCCCACGCTGCCCTTCGCCGGCCCCCCTCCCTCCTCCTCCTCCGGCCACCTCCTGCTGCCCCCGGACCCCTCCGGCCCCATGGCCCGCAGCAAGAGTTCCAGCATGCTGCCCCAGAACCCCTATCAGGAGCCCGAGGCGGGGGGCAGCCCCAGCGGGGCCCCCCACACCAAGAGCTACAGCCAGGGGGACATCGTGGAGGCCCCCCGCAGGCACAGCCACCTGCAGGTAGGGCGCGAAGACCGTGCAGGAGGAACTGAGTCTCTTTAGTCTTGGACAGGGAAGCTTAGGAGGGACCTGAGCTGAATATCCAGGATCTTCTCAGACACTGACAGAGCCAACCCAGCTGACGTCTTGGGAAGGTGAAACATGTGGAAAGTGCATTTAAAACTAAGAAGAGGAGGCACTCCTTTACCCAAAGGGTTGCAGGAGCGTGGAACTGGTTACTCAGCCATGTTGTTGAAGCTGCTACCCTGACTTCTTTCACAAAAATGGCTGAATGGACTCATTGGATTAATTAACTACTAACTGCCCAGTGGCCTTTTGGGACGAATGGTCACCTCTCGTTTGCAACCTTTCTCAGGATTTTATGCTTAACACACATGCACAGTCCCGATAAGCCACTTAGTCTAAATCCACTAAGCACCTGATTTGGTCATTGTCTACTGTTGCACACAATAGAACAGACCCCTTCTGCATTAAAAGAAAAAATACAAACCTTGAATCGGAGACATTAAAACGCAAAGCACAAAACGGAGCACAAACACATCGACATCAGCCTGTGCTAGGCCTTGTACAACACATACACTTGTATGCAAAAGTTTAGGCACCCCTGATCAAATTGCCTCTTTCAATGAATCTCGAAGTGAAAAGAAGTTCACACAACCTCTGCAGGGTACAAACTTAAATATGATGTATTTCTGCACTTTGCAATGCTCAATTACTGTTTGTTTGCTGAATTAAACAGATTGGAAAAAATAAAACGGTGAATGTGGCATGTGCAAAAGTGTGGGCGGTGTGAGATTCTGTGAAACGTGCAATTTGACCAGGGGTGCCCGACCACATAGCCAAACAGCGCTGCTCCATACTCCCGCCTCTCTTTGGGTAAAGAAGCACCTCCTCAGTTTTATGTGTATTCTACAGAGCCGTTTGAAGGCCAGGTGCAGCCCAGCTAAATGGCGGTTACGCGCCTTGTGCTGACTGCACCTTTCTGCCTCTCTGTGAAGAGGTGCTGACGTGTTCTGAAAGCAGTCGAAGCCACAGCGTTTCCTCTCTGTCAGCCCGGCTCTGGTCCCCGGAAGCCGAGTCACAGCGAGGGGTGAGGCCCCGCACCCCCCTGGAGGGGCCAAACTTTCCATTTATCTGGGGATGGAAGGCTTTTGTTCCTTCCAAAAGACTGCTTTTAGCCCAGCTCTTTGCATACAAACAGCATGGAACCCCAGGTGATGCCTGTGATTTGAATACCCTGCCATTTAGGAAGGGAGGAACTACTTATTTTGTAATATTCACACAGCCTAGCCTGTCTAGTTTTAATGTGTTTACTTAATGCCCAATCTGAAACCATTTGCTGATAAGCAGGGTCTTTAAAGGCTGTGCTTGTTTCCCTCTTGCTTTGTGATGTCACCCAAAGTGGCAGCCAATAGAAACCAGGGATTACAGAGCGCTGCTGTCAGCTGCCTGCGCTGTCTTGTGGCTGGAGTGAGTGGGTGGATTGTGCCGCCCCCTTCTGGATACTGTCAGTACTACAGCCAGTCGTCATAGTGTACCACAGAGGTTCACTTATCATTCATTAGTGAAATGACTGCATTATGTAATCCAGGCCAGATTTGCTTTAACCTCCCGATCTGGAAGAAAAAAGATTTTCCCTTAGTGTTTCTGCCTGTTAAGCCCATAGCTCTGTCTCCTATTTTTGAATAGGTGTCTGGCTTGTGTTTTGTATTTTGTAACCCCGGATAACCACCTCATCAATTGCATTTTGACTCAAGTTTCAGTTGAACATCCTGCTTCTTATCAGCGTTTGCAGTGCAGCACTCTTCCTGTGTGAGCTGTTGTGCCTCCGCAGTCCTGTGTTTGGTGAATGCCCACCGTGCTGCTGCTGCTGTTAATCTGTTAATCTGTTAAAAAGACGTTGCCTGTCATCTGTCTGCACGTACAGTACTTGACAGTGTCCATGAAGGTCCATTCTGTCTGTAAGGACAGCTGCAGTAGAATCCTCCACCTCTCTCTCTTCCTCTTCTCTCTCCCCCTCCTTCCTCTCATTGACAATTCAATCCCTCACTCAATTCACTCTCTC